GGGGCTTTCCTAGCTAAGGTCACCTGCCTGCATGCATGCCTGAGCTAAGAGCAGATGGATTCCTGGAAATAAATTGTACATGTCTCATCAGCCGATACTCAAGATGGCTGGAGCTATAAATGCCAGGGGGTGTCTTTCAGGGTAATTTGAAAGCATGGAGACCTGGATGGATGGGTGAGTTTGCTTTCAAAATTGAAAATGAATGCAACACCCTGCCGCAATCTCAGCGGTAGAATGTTGAAACAGACACAAGATGAGAGTGTCCTGCAGCTCAGTGGTGCTCACACTCTGAAAGGAAAAAAGCCTCATGGACTTTGTATGCTGCATCTTTTGTTAAAGGTAGGAGTGTCAGAGGACTACATTTCCCAGAGGAGCTGGTGTGGGAGATGACTGATATATACAGAAGCCCGGGAGATTGAACAGGAAGTGAAAGGGGAGAGAGCTGGAGAGAAGAAGTGTAGAGAGCTGTGTGGGCCGCCAGAGGACCAGACCAGGCCACAGAGGGAGAGAGAGGAGAGGAGCCAGGAGGGATCACTGACCACCAACATTGCCAACCTAGAGACAGAGACATCCTGTCAGCAGATGACTCAGAGTGTTGTGACTGAACTGAGCACTGCATTGAGGAATGGAAAACCATTGTGGACCCTCATCCGCTGAAAGAGAGAGAGATCGCCAGTACCTGCTGGATGCCACAGATTGGGTGAGCGAGTCTCATACACCAGCCAAACAAGTGAACACTGACACTCCTTTCCAATCTGTCACTTTCCTGCACACAGTTGACGCGGGCTGTGGCCTGGTTCCCCAGCCGCTACCATTGAACTCAATTGCAGCATAGTTCAACTATCAGAGCTGACCGCAGTGCATGCCTACTGCAGGCCGAACCACATCATTGTTCTCATGACCATCAGCCTACCCTCTTAGAGGAACATCTACCGCCATTGCTATTAGTTACTGCAGCCCAGAGAGGCGTTGTCCTTTGCTAGTAAATGCTTCTGTCAACTTCTGACACCTTTTTGCCTATAGTTTGCAGCCTGCTTAGTGCATTAAAGGGACACCACCCAAGTCAAATGCCACTTAAAGGGTTAGTTTCTGTTCTTCCTTTTTTTCCCCCTTGTATTAATCCTTTGAGGGACTGACATTTTCATTTCTTCCTACTTAAAAAGTCTGGATCATTGTAGTGCACCAACTGGGCCCCAACGAGTGCGTAGAAGATTCCTCACTGCATTTAAAGGGATGGTGACTACCCTAATTAAAGGGGCTCCTTTCTATTTTAGATTTAAACCTTGCCATCAGATCCTGAAGGCCTAAAGTGAAAAATTCCACCTTTGATAGCGGGGACTAGAGGTTTTTGGTTACTTCTGAAAATAGGCCTACCAACACTGATCAAGATTTTACTGAATGTGTTATTTTCTTATTTGCTTAGAGCTACTAAAAGTGGTAATTGCCATTACGTACACATGTACCACTTCATGCTGTTTGACCGATCTTACATCCAAGTTTAGTATAACGTCATTTCAGTTCACTCCAATCTGTGTTTATTTTTCGGTGATAATTTACTCTGATCAGAAGAGTACTGTGTTGTCAGCAGTGGTTGGGCTTTCAGAGAGGGGTCCAGAGCGACAGAGAGACTAAAAAAACACAGTGACTCCTAAGGGGGTAGTGCTACATGAATTTTCAGTTTGTGGTGCTCAGATACAGTTTAGGTTCACTATAAAGTGTAACTAAAGGCAAAACTTTTTTTGTTTTTAGCTTTGGATAGAGTGGAGAGGGATTAGACCCCTGTCAGGTTTTTACTGTTGTCTGTGCCCCCATTAGGGAGATTCACCCTCTCTATTTGTCATGTTAACCAGGATCATTAAAAGTTAGAGCAAGAAAAAATCCAAATATTGGGTTGTTCCCATAACAGTAAAAAAAAAAGGGTAATCTTCCAATTAGTTCTGGTGACAATCAGGGATTCCGACACGTTGAAGGGATTTCCACTCCCTTCCTGTTTTGGGTATAGGACAAGAAATGAAGGGAAATCTCCCCAATGGGACACAGACAGAAAAAAAAACTACCTGGCTACAACCCTCCCTTTCTCTATCCAAAATGCCTTTAACCGCTTTCCCACCACACCTATAGAAGAAGTACTGCTACAGGGCAGCAGGGGTGCGCAAAATCACATATATATATACTGTACATGATTTTGCATTTTTGGGTAGGGGGGGCGTGCGCCGCCATTGTCAGCCTCACCTGTCAATCGCCGGGTCCCGGCTGGTGATTCCCCCCCCAGCACCCGGCGATCGCTGTGTATCACTGACGGGGGAGAGACCTGTATATAAACAATACAGATCTCTCCCCCGTCAGCTCCTGCACGCTGCTTTGTATTGCTCTGCATAGCAGAGCAATACAAAGCAATGTACTTATACAGTAAAGCACACACACAGCACACAGTTAACTCTTTGATTGCCCAAGATGTTAACCCCTTCCTGCCCAGTGTCATTAGTACAGTGTCAGTGCTTTTTTATTAGCACCGATCACTGTATTGGTGTCATTGGGGATGTCAGTGGCAGTTATTCAGTTCCCCCAGTATTAGAATGCCCGCCACGGTCCCACTATAAGTCGGTGATTGCCTCCATTACTAGTATTTAAAAAAAAAAAAAAGTCCAGTATACTGTCATTTGTAGACACTATAACTTTCAAGTAAACCAATTAATTTACATGTATTGGGATTTTATTCAGGGCCGGATCTAGCCTATCTAATCTGGGGGTGCAGTAAAAAAAGTAAGGGGCATAATGTCAACACTGTGTGAGAGCCACTGATAGTCTGTCACAGTGTCACGACTATTAGGCAGTTATTAGATTGGGATGATTAAACAGAACCTGTGCCCCTTTATCAGGAGTCCTCATCAGAGTCCCCTATTACATGGGGTCCCCATCACAGTGCCCCTTTACTTCAGGGTCCCTATCACAGTGCCCCCTTATATCAGGTGTCCCCATCAGAGTGTTCCCTTACATCAGGTGTCACCTTCAGAGTCCCCCTCCTTACATCAACTGTCCCCAACAGATTGCCCCCTTACATATGAACAGTTATCCCAACAGAGTGCCCCCTTATATCAGGTGTCCCCATCAGAGTGCCTCCTTATATCAACTGTTTACATCAGACTGGTTCATGGATCAGTGTATGTACTCTGAGACGTGGAGTGGCACAGCTAAAATTTTGGGGGGCACAGCCCACCCCAGCACCCCCCTAGATCCGGCTCTGATTTTATTTAGCAAACACATGTAGCAGAATACATTTGTTCCTATTTTTGATTTTTTTTTTTTTTGATTTTTTTTTCTTTTACTGGTCATGTTTAATAGCAAACAGTCAAAAATATTGTTTTATTTCCTCAAAATTGCTGCTTTTTTTTTTATAGTGGAAAAAATAAAAAATGCAGAGGGATCAAATACCACTAAAAAAAAGCCCTATTTGTGGGGAAAAAAAGACATAAATTTAATTTGGGTGCAGCTTTGCATGATCGCGCAATTGTCAGTTAAAGTAACTCATATTGCAAAAAATGCCCTGGTCAGAAAGGGGGGGGGGGGGTTAAATCCTCTGGAGGGTAAGTGGTTAAATAACAATTCTAGATGTTCCCGTTTCCCCATAACACAGCAATTGTTTGCTTTTTGAGTTCAGGATCACTTTAACATTGCATTCAGCTTAGCCTCTTGATGACTATGTGATTAGAACATGATATGCCTTTATAAAATGTTTTATATCCAAAGCTATTATAAAACAATTAATTTTTGAACACTGCCGTCAGCAGATAGCTGTAATTATTTAATGTGTTGACACTTCATCTTGCTGGAAAAGCCGTCAGCAGTGAAAGAGTGAAGTTAGCACGAGCCTCATAACATTCCCTTTGTGGCAAAGCTTATTAAATTATCTTAAGCCATATAGACGCTATCCTGAGAATACCTGAATGTACATGAATACTGCGTGTTTAGACAAACGAAAAAATAATGTGATCTTGTCACACGATCTTTAGAAATGTCTGGTTGCTTGGAATCTGTGGAGTGACTCTGCAGCCTTGCCCTCACAAGCACTTCACATTCCTCTATGAGAGCCTGTCATGTTCACACTGTACAATATTTAAATAAGCATTAAGGAATGAACTATATTTCTTGTGCTGAGGTCTTCATGTAGCTTTAGGTGTAGATTCCTAGATTGTAAGCTCTAGCGAGCAGGGCCCTCTGTTTCCTCTTGTACCAAATTGTATTGTAATTGTAATGTCTACCATTTTGTAAAGCGCTCCACAAACTGTTGGCGCTATATAAATCCTGTATAATAATAATAATAATAATTAGAGCTGAATAGACTGTTCCTTCCTTTATTGTGAGTATCAATGTATATGGTATCTCCTACAGCATTCACTGCTGCTCCTAAACTCACGTTTCAGCCCTGGTTCACACCGATGCGGTGCAGAATCTGCAGCGTTTTCTGTGCGAATTCCACACTGCATCAGAATCGCACTCCGTTCATGCAAACCGCTGCGAGTGTGTATGGTAGCCTCCCTAGCGATCTGATTATGTCAGTATTTCTGTGCTCAAAGCGGTTTAGGAAAAACTCACTGAAATCTGTCCGAACAAGAGTCTAGTAAACATTCCGGGTATCTTAAAATTTGAACACGAAATCATAAATTACAATTTAATAAATAATCATAAAAAATAATAATATAATAATAATAATGTAATTCAATAATATAATCAAACCAAAAACACTGAAATTTGAAATATCGCGCCACGTTCACACATCACTGAGCAAAGTCGCAAAATTGTTTTCAGTGTCTGATGGCCAATTTCCCCACGAATCATTATCACTCAAGTGGTTCTGATTTACTATCGCTGTTCTCTAGCTGGTCTAAAACCGCTTGTGACCTAAAGGGACGCTTTTTGGACACCATGGACGTTTCTCAGTTTCCAGGCAGAAAGAACAGTAAAAATGCAGGCAGGGCACAGGACAAAGCACTCGGGACAAAATGTATGTGAAATGGTTTGATACAGTAATGTTTTACTATGTGATTTTAGTGTATTTAGTGAATGTGACTTTTTGACATTTTTAAATTTCCCGCCGTTCCGTCCCCGCACGTCCTGACGTCGCAGGGAACGGAACTCGGAAGACAGATGCCGGCATCGGACGAAGGACATTGCGGGGACACCGCAGGAGGGAGGGACATCGCGGGAGCGCAGGACAAGGTAAGTGCAGAAGGGATCCCGGAGCAACACTGCAGGGTATTCCCGAGTGTAGCTCGGGGTTACCGCTTGTGGTGCTGAAACTTTACCCCGAGCTACACTCGGGAATACCTCCAGGGATGTTAAGTTAACAACACCCTGAAAGTGGTCCGCAAAATGCGGTGCGATGTGCAGAATCGGATCGCATAGGTGTGAATACCCATGCGATCTGATTCTAGTGTGGACTGATAAAAGGGTTCTGCACGTTTTTGGTGTGGGTGCGGTGCGATTAGAGCCATACAAAATGTATGGCTCCAATCGCACCGCACACAAATCACATGTGGTTTGCACAGGAATACGGTGCGGTTCCTGTGCGAATCACATGCAATATACCGCACCGCATATATGTGAACCCAGGTTAAGACATTTTTGACTTTTTTTTTTGCCAGAGCCCCTGAACTCAACTCAACAAAAGCCCATAGGGTATATTTACTAAACCTGGTGCACTCAGAATCTGGTGCAGCTGTGCATGGTAGCCAACCAGTTTCTAACTTTAGCTTGTTCAATTACACCCCGGTCACATTGGGTGCGACTTGGCATGCGAGTTTCATGCCCTGCGACTTGCAAAACGTATGCCAACTCGCACCCTGTTGTCTGCTATCAGAGCGGTCATAACGGTGCGGTTCCGACTTGGTCGGAGCCGTACTGATTTCTAAAGTAGTGCATGCACTACTTTTGTTGCAATTTGCATAGACATCTGTGTCAGATGTCTTGCAAATCGCAACTGAAATCGGCGGGTCACCTGATTTTGTAATTGTGCTACTTCACTGTAAGTTGCACGATTTCAAAATCGGCTTTGATGTGACTGGGGGTTTAAGCTCTGGCAATAAAACCCTGAAGCTGATTGGTTTCTATGCAGAGCTGCACCAGATGTTGCACTCTCCAGTTTTAGGTAACAACCCCTAAAGGTGAGAATACATGATTAGAAAATTGACCGATCGGTCATCCGACAACCGACCCGAGAGGCATTCGTTTGTTGGTTGAAATCGTGGTCCACATTAACCAATCTAAAAAAATAGTTCGTCGAGCAATACGAAGTGTTGACGTCTTCCGTACAAGTGGAAGTGATGCAGTGTGTGTGTGATCTTGTAGCCACGCCCTTCTGTCCAGAACGATCGATATACACAACAATTCCCAGCAATGAGTATAATATAGTTTATTACATTACCTATATACATAAATAGTGATATATAAAATATAATATGCATCATTCTGGTTTCATTATCTCATTAGGTCAATCTACTTTTAACATTTTGATTTTTCATTCGTGTTTACGAAGATTCCTTGGACATAAACATCCGGGTCATCTTCTGTTTCCGTCATGTGTAATAGCGCTTGATAGATTTTTTTCATATGACCGTCATACCACCATAGAAAATCGGTCGTTCATATGCGAAACGACAACATTTTTCATTGTTGTTCAACTGGAGTTTTTCGTTCACAATATCGTTATCAGTTAAAACATCCTGCTCATCAACGAAGAGAAAATCGTTTGATCAGTGGGTCTGCAAGATTTTTCGTACAATTTTCTTATCGTGTGTACGGGGTATTAGTGTCAATGCACACAAAGGATTTACCAGAATTTAGGAGAAGTAGAGTTTAGAAGCAGTAAAATGATCCTCTCCTGAATGCAGAAGAATCGCATTCAGGAGAGGAATGTTTTGACACAAAAACACCAAACACAGCAAAAATGCGCATGTAAATGCTAGGAGCATTTAGCATTTTGGCGTTTTTTTTTTCACTTCAGTGGCCAGAATAGATGATTTATTCTGGCCAAAGTCATGAATAAACGCCCAAGCGCTGGTCACAGGAAAACACGTGTAAATGTTTACCGGCGCAAAGTGTTTTTTTTTGCTGCCAGATGAAATGTCCAGAGCAGTTGTTATCAGCGTCCATTGACTCACTAGCTGTGATTGATTGTAGCGGGAGCCAATGGCTCGTACTGCTGTCTTGTGCACAGTGCTGGAGCGAGATCAGGCTCAGGTAAGTATTGGCGGAGTTGAGAGGGCTGCTGCACACGGAAGGTTTTTTACTTTCATTTATAGAATGCACGAAGGTGAAAACCTTGAGCCTTTACAACCACTTTAAAGCAACACAACCTAAAAATATGAATGGATCTTTTTTGGTAAATTATAAAATCTAGTAGCATCTGTCCAAAACTGAATAATTCTTAACCACCTCCCGTCCGGCCTTTGTATATAAACGGCCGGACGGTGGCACTGCAGGGTCGGGTGGCCGTCTATAAACGGCCTCCCTGCACCCTGCTTGTGCGCGCTCCCTGGGAGCGCGCAGCACCGCGATCCGGTGCCCGCTGTGTCCTCCGGACACAGTGAAACACCGATCGTCGGACGGGACCTCTGTACGAGGTCCCGATCATGTGATCACTGATTGGCCAATCAGTGATCACATGCAAAGTAGTAAGCAAGATGTCACTTGTGACATCATTGCTTACTACGTGTGAAATCTGTGAATGATCACAGAAGTCACATGGTACAAGGCTATTCACAAAAGCCTTGTACCATGTGACAAGCTGTGACCAATCACAGCTCACTCAGTTCTTGTCAATGAGTGCAAGAATGCACACAGAGAGAAAGAGAAATGATTGCTTTTACATCCTATATGGGTGTAAAAGCAATCAGTGTAAAAAAAAAAAAAAAAAATCTTCATCACCCCCCACAAGTAGTACAGTGTCACCATGGTGACACTGTACTGCTAGGGTGACAGCATGTAAAAAAAAAAAAAAAAATAATATAAAAAAATAAAATAAAAATGTAAAAAAAAAATTTTAAAAATTATAATTTTTGCTTATAAACTAATTTGTATTTTTTTTTTATACTAAAAAGATAACGGAATAAATTTTGGCTAAGATTTATGATGAAATATTATTTATTTGCAAAATTTTATTAAAAAAACACACTTTTTTTCAAAATTTTTGGACATTTCATTTACATAGCAAAAAAAATACAAATCCCAGTGGTGAATAAATACCACCAAAATAAAGCTTTATCTGTCTCAAAAAAATGGTAAAAAATTCATTTGGGTACAGTGTTGCATGACCGCGCAATTGTCATTCAAAGTGTGATAGCGCTAAAAGCTGAAAATTGCCCTGGACAGGAAGGGGGTAAAAGTGTCCGGTCTGGAAGTGGTTAAAGACATTTTTCACAAGAAGGAAGTCTTGTGTGGCATTACATTACCAAGTCTGCGCATTTCTAAACAATCTAAAGTATACCTATCACTTGGTTAAATATATCTAAACATATCTAATCCTCATCCTGGGAGTCCAAAGCCTGGAGGCACTATGTATCCAAATACCAATTTTCCAACCGTAAAATTGGAGCCGTGCCTCCTCCCTTATCTTATTGGTCAGAGAGGCACTCAGATATCTGAACTGGAAGCTGTCAAATGCCCTTTAAATCCTCATTTAGCGACAGTCTGAAAGTGCCATCTTTGCATCTCAGTGAAATAGTTTGCTGTGTCTATAAACAAGCTTTTAGCAGGCTATAGTAAGTGTTCACCAAAGTTCAGCATCATGTTAAAGTGGAAATTAAGTTCACAATACTTACCTCTCCGTCATGTCTGACTTCCCTCGCCGGCAACTACATGTTCTACCTGGCCTTTTGTGGGTGCTAGGCTGCAGCTGTTGTCATTGGCAGGCACGGAATGACAGGATCTGTGCCGGAGTGTGCCTTCCAAAGAAGTTTGTGAGCAGGCCGTTAGGTTTGTCTTCTGCAATAAAGAGCCTGCCTGTTCACAATTTTTGAAAGTGGAACATCATTTGAAAAGTATCGCTCATCATCCTCCTTCTCCCTTTATCTCTCATCATTGCAAACTGCTGCAACTTCCTGGGACATGTCACAGATCCCAGGAGGTTTCAAGACCATTGAGAAAGCACAGTGCATCTTGCGCATGAGCAGTGGGATGCTGGCTGTGAAGTACAAGCAAGATGGTGGTTGTCGGGACTCAAAGATCGGGGAAGAAATGCCCTGGGTGATGACGGAGCTGGATCCCTGGACTAAAAAGTGTCTATAAAAAGAGAGTCTGCAGCTAAATCATTTGTATTTGCTGACTTTTATTTTTTTTTTATAACTGACAGGAGCTCCTCTTTAAGCTGTTTTATTTATTTCAGGTACTATATAGCGCTGTCAATTTACGCAGCGCTTTACATATATATTGTACATTCACATCAGTCCCTAACCCTCAAGGGGCATACAATCTAAGGTCCCTAACTTACATTCATATACAGGGGCCAATTTATACAGTATCCAATTAACCTACCAGCATGTCTTTAGAGTGTCGGAGGAAACCAGAGTACCCAGAGGAAACCCACGCAGGCACAGGGAGAACATGCAAACTCCAGGCAGGAAGTGCCGTGGTTGGGATTTGAACCCAATGACCCTAGTACTGCCAGGCAGAAGTGCAAACCATTTAGCCACTGTTTTAAAGTTATTGCCAGCATTTCTAATAGGATCTGTACTCAGCACCCAAAGACTGGATGTAAAGTTGTGAAAGTGATATTTTGAGATTCAAAATGACAGTTAAAGTGGTAATAAAGGTTCAGCTTTAAAAAAAAAAAGTCATTTTTACCTGCTCTGTGCAGTGGTTTTGCACAGAGCAGCCCTGATCCTCTTCTTGTGTCCCCCACCAACGCTCCTGGCTCCTACCTCTTGATCAGTGCTCCTAATAGCTGCTCTATGTGTCCTATAGAGACCCCCCTTCCTAATTGGCTCACTGGCTGTGATTGCCAGCAGTGGGAGCCAATGGCTCCCACTGCTGTCTCAGCCAATGGCTCCCACTGCTGTCTCAGCCAATGAGGAGAGGGAGTTCCTGGACAGCTGAGGCACAGCGCTGGATGATGATCAGGCTCAGATAAGTATTAGGGAGGGTTGTGTGGGGGAGCAGCACACAGAAGCAGGGGCGGACTGACCATTTGGAAACTCGGGCACCGCCCGAGGGCCCGGGGTCAGTAGGGGGCCCCATGAGATGCCCCTGGTACCTTTTTCATAGGCATTTTTGAGTTTGGGCAAGGACACAGGGGCCCCATGATCCCCTATTGCCCGGGGGCCCCATGTGTTGTCAGTCCGCCCCTGCACAG